TTTTGCATGCAGCCCAACGGTGAAGGTCGCGCGATCGTCATTGGAACGTCGCCTGAACAGTCGCGATATCCCGGCCACGCTGAAATCCGCCTAGGTGAGTGTCGCTGAGTGTGAATGGGGCCTTAATGTTTGAATATGAGGGTTTCCCTATTTTGCCTAAGGCGCCCAAACTGCAATGCTAAACTTATTTTCAGCGCTGGCACTTTGAGATAAATAAATTGATTTTGCGTCGCAGTTTGGGCACTCGGGTTCAAAAAGGTTCGCCATCACTGGTATAGGGGAAAGAGAGGTGAGTCTGGAAAGGATTACATTTATATTAGGGAGAGTTCGTGTTAGAGTTATATGGAGGGTTTGTGTGAGGGGGGCCTTGGAATTGGACATTTCCTTCAGCGCCAACAGCTCTGTGCCAAACATTACCAGTGCCAATCACCCAGTGTTGGATGCTATTGCATAAAACTGACCTCAGATTCTGTGAATGTGTCAGGGACCTTAGATGTGCAAGCAAATCTAAACCCTAAAACAGCATTTGTTTATATTTTTCAGTTTACCAGTTCTTAGACGTGGTGGCTGCATTCATTTTCTATTTTTTTTTTACTTTCTATTTTATTTTCACCTCGTGATTCTGCCAGTAACACAGTTCCAGTCCTAGGATGACAACACTCACTTACCCTTCTGTATCAGGACAACTGAAATAAGATAGGACTAGGCAGCCTATAACATATAACAGCAAAGTTCTGTAGTCCTCAGACAACACTGTAATTGATAATAATCAGCTAATGATCTTGCTAAGAGAAACATCAAATGTGGAACAAGTCATTTTTAATAGGGCTGTAGGAAGCAGAATTGTGAAAGCATTGCGTTGTATAGGGGCAGTAATAGCAGTGTAACATGTCTCCATTCTCCAACGACTGGAGCGTGTTTGCATTCTCTGACCATCTCCTATTGCAGCATGTTTGCAGTCTCTGACAGTTTTATGTAGTCTTTAATTCACTGAATATTATGTGCAGCCCCATGATAATGTCAGTGGCCGCACTTGAGACCCTTTATATCAAGCAAGTTGACCACCCCTGGTGTAAAGTTTGTATATTAGTACCTTAGTACTAACTGGTACATTTTAAGATGCAATTACACTTTTGGGTGAGTCTTAACAATTGTCCACAATGTTAGGGAGGTGGGGAAAGAAACAGCTGATGATTTGAGACCAATCCCAGAGGCACGGTCTGCACAGCTGTGGAATGTATCTACATACTTCACAGCTTTCCCCATAATCCCCTATGAAAACTCCACTGGGTTTCTTAATACAACTTTGATTAACGTGCTGTAATAAAGAAGGTCTTTCTTTTACATTCCCTGCAGATCACAGACTAGAAATAGGTCACAGGCTGTGCCACGACGCACAATAGGCCCTTCTCCCGGAGGGGCGGAGGCAACAGTAATAATAAAGGACATCAACATGAAAGGCAGTATGACAAATGACGCTGTAGCATGGGGACGAATTCAAAAAAAGGAGCTAATTCCTATGGGTCCATCTACATCACACCACCAGCCTAGCACAGCAATGCTGGCCTCATACGCCCCTGTCACACCCTCCCTGGGAGAGGGGAGACCGGCTTTGGGAGGTAACTCAAGTTCACATAGCTATGGGAAAAGAATAATGCAGAGGGATTAATATTGTCCACCACCCAGACTAGAAAGCAATCTCTACACCACCCAGACTAGCCCAGCTAGAACATTTGATCTATACAGTTACTGCCATAGAGAGAGTGAGACATATGCCAAGTCTAGCCTTCAGTTTATTTCCCAGAAATATTGAAAAAAAAAAAAAAAAAAAGTCTGACATTTAACATTTTTCTGGGCTTTGAGCTTCACATTTTAAAAAAATGAAAATAAACCTGTCATGAAAAAGTACGGGGGCTTCCGTGACTGGACCCTTTTTAGAAATGCTCCATTACTGGCTGTAGCCCCACTGCAAGGATTAAGAACACTTTTGCCTGGAGTTCTTCTTTAAAGAAAGGGTTAGGTGCTCATTTTTGGCTAGGGTCAAAATTAACAAAGTTATACTCACCCGATCCTCTGAGCTGACTGGCTGTGACAGTGCACCCTCCAGCCTGTCTCCTCCTCCACAGCAGCAGCGATAGTATGTCCCTCATTGTCCTCATGTCTTATAAACAGGGGGAAGGTTTTTTTTTAAACTGTAGCATACAGAATCTGGAGCAACCAATCAGCTTCTCTCTTCAGTTTGTCCTGTTAGGATTTCAAAATGAGAGGTAGATGCCGATTGGTTGCCATGCAAATCTGCTACAGACTCAAGGACCTTAGATTGATGCAGTGGAGGGGGGCAGAGGCTTGAAGTACCATTCTAAGAGCCAGCCAGCTTGGAGGATTGAGTTAGTATGTATTTTTTTTAACCCTAGGCAAAAACGACCACTTAACCCTTGCAGTGTGGGGGATAGCCCTACTGCAAGGGTTAATAACATTTTGTACCTGGAGATCTTCTTTACTATTCTTTTCGTCATTGACCTACAACAAGTATGCCGATTGGGAAAGTCAGAAAAAAGTCAGAGTGCCTTTTTGAAATCTTGTTCCTGGATAGTGACTCCCAGACAGCTAGTATTGTCAGAAGGAGAGCTGAGCAATGGCAGTTTCATGTTTCTCTTATGACATAATGCAGCGAAGGATCATGAAATGAAGAATCAGATTGCTTGTAATGAGCAACTAGACACAGAAATGAATGGTATGGTGACAGGGTCTCTTTAAGTAATATTCTTCCACACAGAGTGTCAGTATACAGATTAACATTCTAAGGGAATTCAACTTTTTCTCCAGATGTGACATCTTTAATTTATTACCTCCAGTGGGATCATACGTGGAGGAAAATCTAGAAATGGAAACATCATGTTCATGTCTTCAGTTAAGCTGAACCCTGGGAAAGCAGCTAAATACTCAGTAAAATGCACACTTAGAAACTTCCCTACCTGCCAAAAGATTTGTAATACTCTCCAGTCCATCGTGTGATTCAGACACTGCTAGAAGGGAACATAGCTATGTCCTGGGCCTTCAATGCAGTGGCAGCACAGAATGGTTAAGAACGCACCCCCTAGATCAGGAGGAGCCAAACTACGGCCCTCCAGCTGTGGTGGAACTACAAATCCCATGAGGCATTGCAAGATTCTCACAGCCACAGACATGACTCCCGGAGAGAGATGCATCATGGGATTTGTAGTTTCACCACAGCTGGAGGACCAGAGTTTGGCTACCCCTGCCCTAGATTATTGATTGGACAATGATGGAGCAGAGACACACTAATGAGTCATCACTCTGCTCTACACTCATGTTAGTATGTTCACTGTGCTAGACTGATAGGCATATTTGCTCTGCTGCAGTACACAGCGCTACTAGTGTTCCCCTTCTTCTTCTGAGTACTGCTGTGAAGAGGATGAAATTAATCTACCAGAAATTTATTATTCAGTTATCTTAGTTGCATTTAAATAAAGATAATGTTTTTTTTTTTGTCTGGTGGAGTAGTAAGGGGGTATCTAGTATCACCCCTGTAGTTTGGGCTTTGGGGGAAAGCTATTCTGAGAGCTGCTACTGCTGGACCCTTCCCCTGAAAATGCTGGCTGTCATTCAGTAGCTTCACTCTTTTCTGAGTCAGAGAACAAGGATTAGGGTTTGAAGTTGCTTGTTTCAGGTCAGTAAGTAAAGCCAAAGAGAGGTCAGAGGAACAGCATTTTCAGAAGGAGGTCAGCAATGGCAGCATCTTCATACAGTGTCCTCCAATAATAAACTTCTCTTATTTTGCTCTGCAGTCAATCCTACCAGAAATCCTGTGCACTCTGCAGTGTCATCAGCCCCATTCAGTTCACCTCTGGGGGCTAAAGAACCCTCCCATGTTATAGAAATGAGAGCGGGAGGTGTTCTGTAGTCCAAATCAGGAACGTGCAATCTATCCTCCTCCGTAGATACAGTATAGTGAGCATTGTCACACTAGGACAGGGGTTGTGTTAGTCCTAGTCCCCAGTCACACCTATGCGATTAGAAGTGCTTCAGCCATCTTAACACAATGCATGACAAAGAGAATCCCTTTAGTTTCTATGTGACCCATTCACACCTATGCATTGCACTGCGACTCTGAAAAAAGTGCTGTGGCTTCATTGGTGCATTTAAGCCCCATAGGGCTTCATTGGTGCATTTAAGCCCCATAGACCTTCATTGGTGAATTTAAGCCCCATAGACCTTCATTGGTGCATTTAAGCCCCATAGACCTTCATTGGTGCATTTAAGCCCCATAGACCTTCATTGGTGCATTTAAGCCACATAGGCAGTGGCAGTGCATTTCACACCTAAGTGTAACATTAATCGCACAAAGCACGCTATTGAATAACGCTCCTAGCGTGCATTATCATGTGCTAGGGGCATTGCATTGCCATTCATTTGAATGCTACCCCATTGCACCTCCCAACATCGCAGCACAACACGCCGTGCTTTTTCCACTGTACTGCAATGCATGGTATTGCGGTACTATACGTTGCATTGCGTTGCAGCTGGGAGGCATGTTAGGGTGCCATGCAAATGAATGGCAACCCAACACACCTAGCACACAGTAATGCACGCTAGGTACACTGTGCAATAGTTAATTGCACAGTATAATGCAATTAACGCTATTCTTAGGTGTGAACAGGACGTTAAAATCCATAAAAAGCAACGTAAAAACGCATGAAAATGCAGACGAGCAGTGTTTACAGAGACTTACTAACAGGAGCACATTTGACAAGACTATGAGCAGCAAATAGTAGGTGTGTCTGGCTCTCCATTGACATAATACATAGCACATGATCTCTCTATACAATCCATTGAATAGATGAAAGCAGATAGTATTCCTATTATTAATAAAGAATAGGAGGGGGGTAGATGGGAACTATTGTGACTCGCTAATGCTGTGCACAGAATGAATCTGTGGAGGATAATGATAGGAAGTCATGGAGAAGTTGGAGGTTTCCAGCTTAGCACCTCCTCCTGGTTTTCATTTGTGTGAAGATCAGACCACCTCATAAAGCCCCTGATAAATGCTGCAAGCTCCAGGGCTGGCTGCTGTCTCCTGCCTATGGTGCTGAACTGAGACAGACATGAAGGAGATCCTGACTCTTCTACTGAGCTGCATCACCTGTAGAGGGCAGGGGATTGAGAGCAGCCTTCCTGTACAGGACTGTGCCCTGCTCTCTGCCCATGGACATCTCACCCAGCACCAGGTGACAGATGGCAAGGAATTGGTGATCTCTACATGGGACACCAGGAGACAACTGGTATCATGCTCTGTGGAGGAGGATGAAGGGGCTGTAAATTCTTTCCTAACCCAATGCATCAGGCAAGATGATGAGTTGTACAGTAGCTATGGAGGCTTTGCTGAAGCCAGAATGGCATGCTTCTATTTTCTGCAATCAAGGAGAACACAAGCAAATGATCACCATGCAAGAGTCAAGAGAGGCTTTACCTACCCAGGAACCCTGTGGTGCGGAGCTGGGAATAATGCAGAAAAAGAAACTGATCTAGGTAAGTTAAAGCTTACCAAATTCTAGCTGGGGTCTAGACCAAGGGTGGGCAATTCCATCGCTTCAGCTGTTGTGGAACTACAAGTCCCATGAGACATTGCAAGAATGACAGTTACAGACATGGCTTTCAGAGGCAGAGTCATGTTGGGATTTGTAGTTAAAGCACAGCTGGATGGCAGGAGATGCCCACCTCTGGTCTAGACAACAATGCATAGTGCTGTGACCTGGTATTTATGTGAAGGTGGAGGAAGGTCTTTAGCATTGTAACATTGTAATTGCATTGTAACATTCTACATTGTAATTGTAGTCCAGCATCCTGGATCTTGGCAGGTCTAAGTAACAGACATTTTTAGAGCTAATGCACAATAAAGAGGAGGTGTTGTCCTCCGCTACCAATTAGTGTCTTTGGGGGAATGAATGAAAAGCGTCTGGGACAAACTTTCTCTCAACTTTGTCTTAAGAAGAGTGCAGCCAATCAGCTTTTAAAGCCCATCTCTGGGCAAACCAAAAAAACTACCCTTGCAGTGGGTCTACCCCTGCACTGCAAGGGTGAGCTGCTCATGTATGCCTATGGTACTTGAATAAATCATTTTTACCTACCTAATCCCTGCTCCCCTGGCGACCACCACTCATCTCTCTCCCCTTCACTACAACTGGTGCAATGTCCCTCAGCATCCTCATGTCTAATGCAGATCTATAGACCCTGCATTAGATGAGATGACATCAGTGACCCTTAGATCCCTGAAGCAAAGGGAACAAAAGGCTGCGGAGACCAGTCTAGCATCCCAATGGGAGCAGGCAAAAGTGGGGATCAGGTAAGTAAAATTGCTTTTTATGGTCCCTTTGTGAGCACTTAACCCTTGCAGTGCAAGGGCAGCTTCACTGCAAGGGTAGTTTCTAGTTTTGCCCAGAGATGAGCTCTTAATGATCCTTTTCTAAGCTGTGTAGGAAAAATAATGAAAGATAGAAGCTGATTGGTTGCTATTGACAACCGCACTAGTTGAGACTTGTTTTATAAATGAAATGTGCACCTTTTAGAATCAAATACAATGCACATATGATTTTTATGATATTGAAGCTTTTACTGCAGGTCTATATGGCCAGGCAATAAGCTATGGGCATCCTTTTCTATTTGTCTCTCGCAAGAGCTTTTGAATTGAATTTTTTTGGAAACAGCAAACTGCTGCATCATAAAGTTTTGTACTTGCTAGAAAGCACACCCTCAGCATAGCATGATACTGACCCCACAAGAATTTACTTTCACTGGCTTTGCTGACAAACTCAGATAAATGCTTTGCAATGTCTCAGTGGGTGTAATGTAGGAAACAAATACTGACCAGATTTTATGAAGGGAGAATGGGATTGATTGCTGCGGAAAGCACTGATATGTTTTACAGTGCTCAGTTTTCAGACCTGAAGCCCAGCAGTTTCAAAAAGAAATTGTAGCATGTGAAAACCATGTCTCAATATATGATGAAGATGAAATGCATCGCACTGAGGTCCTTATAGAATTAAGCCCCTTTCTTGATTATCCAGTATTGTCCTGTGTCCTAATCATAATGATCTGATAATTACAGTACAATAATTCCAAAAATGAGCTGTCAACACCTGGTGATGCTACATTTTGTGTATTTATTATACCAAGGCATTAGTATTTATAACTTTAAAGGGTAAGTTCACTTTCCCAAGTGAATTTGGGAAAATGGACTTTCCCCCTCCAATCTTGTCCCCTCTCCCCCTGCTATACTTACCTTTTGGCAAAAGCTCCTTCCACTCCGCTAGTATATGTGTACTAGTTATCCCACATACTGCTGTGTAGTGTAACCCTGCGCTATGGATTTTGAATTTGACTTGTTAATGGCAAGCATTCATTGGTCAGCGTGGTCATTTTTTAGCAAAATTCAAAGTCCATAGTGCAGGGCTGCTCTACGTAGCAGTATGGGGTATGAACAGGACACCTTTACAGGAGGAGATTCCCAAATTCTCTTGCGAAAGTGCACTTACCCTTTAAAGACAATCCATCACCATGAAGAGATCATGCAGCAGTCACTAGATTAAGTGCTTTGCTGTCAGTTGAAGATTATGAAGAATTCTCTGCAATGTTCAGGCAGTGTGAAACTTTCTTTAACAGTTTTCATTGAGATTGAATCTGAAGGTAGCAAAATCATTTATCATAAATTGTGTTATTATATAAAAAAAATGATGAGCACTGAATAAATGGCTTCAATACATGGGCGGAATCTCGTTATCCTATTGGTCCTGCATTGTTCTCAATTGCAGGGCATAATTGATTAGTTGCCCGATTATTTTTTCAACTAATCGATTTGTTGCATTAAAAAAATATCTCCATTCATTTCCAAAGTTGAATGTTAAGCCGGGTGCACATGCTTCGAATTTCACCTCATTCTTGATGGACCGGACAAAATTGAATGCGTGGGGCTGCTGTTGGCACCTTTCCAACTGGCATTCCTCCATCAGCTGATCGAAGGAGCATGTGGAAACATTGTTGGCCAAACAGAGGTAGCAGCCAATGAGCTGCCAGCTCTGTTCGGGTATTCTGATGGCAGCTGCTGTCAGAATACAAAGGAAACAGTTGGAGGTTTCTCAATCAACGCTTATAGGCATTGATGGAGGAATCTGTTCCATTTTCCTCGTTCACCCAGCAGGTTGAACGAAGCAAATAGAAGCGTGTATACCCGGCTTTAAAAATTAAACAAAATTTTGAACAGCATTTGTCAAGCCTCTGATAAAATGATCCAATGTTCAGATGAGATTTTTTTGGATGAGCTTTACTCATTCTGAAAGTAAACTACCCCGCTGCCAGCAGGAGAACAATGATCTGGTATCTAGAGAATCCCATTGATGCTTGTAAACTTTTCTTTTGAAATCTATCTGGAGATAACTGCTAAGATCTCAAGGTAACATATTGATCATTGCCCATTCCAAGCCAAGTGAGATACTTTGTTATATAAGAGCAGCAGTAGACTGTAGGCATCATAGCATTATAGCTGAAGGCCAATCTGCAGATGAGTTTGTTATAACTATATGACAATTTTCTTGCTTAGGTGAACACAGAGAAACAGACTCATGCTGCAGGACACACGACCACTGTGAGCATGTCATCCACTCCTTAACCTCCAACTATGGCCACTGGAACCTCCGCTGGCACACCATCAGTCACTGCCAGTGTGACAACAAGTAAGTTACTTCCTTGAAATTGGGGTGGCTCAGAGGAAATGGTATTTGTATTAGGACTTTGTGTAGTAATATAGAAATGTACATTTCTATACAGTTGTGTAATTTCTAACAGTCGGCGGTAAATTGGTAGAACGATGAGCTGTGTGATACTCCCAAAACATAATGCTACAAATGTAATAAACGGTATGGATGGGTCTTTGTTACCAGGAATACAGTGTCGTACAAGGGCACAGCTTCATTGGGCACAAATGGAATATATGACTCAGGGCCCACAACACATAACCGCAATATTAATAATACAATTATACACAATAACCCATAACAATATACAAATATACTTGGACACATCACAAGTATATTTCCATTGCTGTGATAAGGGGAAAGAAGTGCTCTTGATTTATGGCAGGACTTAAGAGACAGGCCAAGAGTCCGGTCTATGGTGAGACAGACAGGGCCGGATTTCCCACAAGGTCAACCGAGGCGCGACCTTGGAGCAGCAGGGAGTAGAGGGGCAGCAGGGGGTGTGGAATTCCAATCGCCGGATGCCCAGGACATGCAGGTCCTTGCTTTGGGCAAGCAGGGCTAAATGTACAGCGGGGAATCCGCCGCTTGTTTTGTACAAGTGATCTCGGCGATGTCGTCGAGATCACTTCTATGCAGCCTGCATACAGGGGGGCGCATTGAGGAACCTGGCTTTGGGGCAGCAGAGAGTGTAACTCCGGCCCCGGAGACAGACTATCAATGAGTGTACAGCAATGACAGAATGTGAATGAGTGAAGATTGCTATTATACCTACGCATGCTATTACACCACTGATTGTATAATTTCCCTGCGTGTATTTGGCTTTACACTGATATTAATTGAACATTGTTTTCTTACTACAAAACGACAATATAAAGTGACACAATCTTCACTCATTCACTTCCTCTGTCATTACTGCACACTCGTTAATATCCTGTCTCACCAGTCTACATCAGCTACACTGTACCCAAACAATGATAGCTTGTCCTTGGTAACATGATTTCTTTCACCTAAGACCTCTTAAGCAGTTTCCAGAATAATCTAATAAACCTAAAGTAGACCAAATCCAACAAGTGAGTGTTATGTGACAGCAGTAATTGTAAATCTGATACTGTTGGTTACTGAACTTTATGTACGAGTTTTGCCCTTTTTTTGCACTGGCTTGGATAATTCGGGTCATTTTAATAAGTAGCTCCATTGACTTTTATTTTTTTATGTGCAGCATTTACTAGGGGGTAAGGGATACCGCATTCTGGTGTCCTGTGGGTTCTTGTACATACTTTGTTGGAATCTTTAGAGAATTTGCTTCTCTAAAGCAACAATGGTATCTTAGCTGAAAAAATCAGTGAGCTGGTTATGGATGTGCCATTTGTAGAGAAAAATCATCATGATAGTACAGCAGTCACTACACGGACAGATTTGTTGGTACCCTTCCTTGAATAAAGAGGAACCCAGTTTTTTCCAATAATGAATCCAGATCAAATATACAGCAAATTGCCCAGCAAAGTATTTCATAACATTTTTGCCCAAGCACTTACAGTCATGTTTCCGAACAGCACCAACTCTCTCAGCTTCCCTAGACCTCCTGTTCAGTACAAAATCACAAGGGACAGAGCAGTCTCCAGCAACTGTTCATCTACTAGCTTTGAGAAAGGAGAAGGAAGAAGGGAGGAAGGAGAGCAGGAGGATGTTTTGCTTTGCTGTGTCTGTGTTTATGTTTGTGTTTGTGGAGAGACACACAGATTACTGGCACACACAGGGGTGTCTCCATTGGACTCTGCAAAAGTAGAAGGAGCCACTCTAAAACAGGATATCAGGTCCAGTGCTCAGGGGACCAGCTGATTCTGTACGGAACTAAAACTTTTAAACATCAAGAAGCAGCATCAATTGACAGTGGTTTCATCAGCATTTGAAAAAAGCTTAAAAACATTTTGACTTTAAACCCTTACCAGCCAGCTGGGAGCTCCATGGATCCCTCAAGCTGTCACGCTGCGATACACGACTCGCGGCCGTTTTAGAAGCACGGGCAGAATCGCGGCGGGAAACTGCACGATCCCCCCCCCCCCCCCACCGGGATGCCATTGGAAAATAATGGCACCCACAGTGCGATCGGTGCACAGCTAGGTGACTCCTGACTGCGCGGCAATCCACGGTGGGGTGTCGCCTAGGTGTGCACCGGCCCTAAAGCACATTTTTTTTAAGTAAGTTAGTGTGATGGTGACACAGAACTACCTTTTAAGATGTAGGTTAAGGCTTTCAGGTTTGATCTAGTATGAGTGTGTCTAATATCTATATATGGTTGATAAGGCTGGAAAATCTGATTTCATGGTGAAAAAAAGGGAGAATACTTCAATATATCGTATATGTAAATCACTTTTGGTGTATTAGGCCTCATGCACACTGGCACTCCTGGGTTAGGTGCTTCTAAATGCAGGATAAGTTGCCTGGGAAGTAACAACTTTTATGCTTCACAGATCACATTTTGCTGTGTTTAGATGTTCCTGTTTTAAGATGGGCTTATCCGAATTTACAGTTTATCACTGAAGGCAAACTTTCCGCTTGAATGATACTATTGAAACACCATAACATGCATTCACATGCGTTTAGATATGTCCTCTAGATGTAGGTTTTACACTGCCAGTGCCTTACCTCCCAACTTTCTTAAATGTGAAAGAGGGACTCCAATGGTAGTTAGGCAATGTACACACCCCTGCTCCCCCCCATGTTATGCGGGCTATTAGGAATTTATATGACAAAAATAATTTTTTTAACCCAGAACTGTTGTGTTCCACCTTCGCTTTTCCTTTATACTGTCTTCTCTTAATAGTAAACAAGATAATTAAGAGATTAGATGAAGGTGTTAGTGCAGAATAACACTCTTGGTAGTGAAATGGAACCTTTTCATAGATATTTGTCCAACAGATCAAAATGAGGGACAACTGAGGAGGAAAGAGGGACAGAAGGATTTGGTTTGAAATGAGGGACCGTTGGGAGGTGTGCAGTGAGAATGAGGCCTTGCTGTCATGGTGACCTTCAATACTATCAAGGAAATGGAATGTGTAAACACCAAACACTTTGACCTTCCAGTCATGACAAAGTCTGGAAGGCCAAAGTGTGGAGACAAAAAGGGGACAAAAAGATAAAGGTACAATGCTCGGGCTGATAAAAATTAACTTGTTTACAGAGGATAAACTTCACCAGAGAAATTGGAAATGTAATGTATAATAGGTGCATTGCGTAGTACTGCAACACATTTTACACATGGTGCTAGTTTTACCATACCTCCCAAACTTCTGAGACGAGAAACAGGGACACCTTCCAGCTTAATGTATTTAGGTAATAGACACACCCCTGCCAACAACCCCCCCCCGGTTTGCCGACCATTAAGAAGTTATATGCCAAAAATGATTGGATAAACCCAGAATGCCGTATTTTGCGGTCGATAAGACGCACCGGACCATAGGACGCAGGGAGGTCCGGCGCGCCTTATGGAGCACTCGACAGACCGTAGCTTCTCTCACAACTTCTATGACAGAAGCTGTGACAGAAGCTGCAGTTAGTGACCGCTGAGACAGGTGGCGCTGTGATTACAGCGCCACGTTCTCAGTGATCACACAGAGCAGACGAAGAACGTCCGTTCTTCGTCTGCTCTATGGTGATCTCGATCGTCGCCGCTGCTCGGTTTTAATACGAGTGATCTCATTAGATCACTCGTATTAAACGAGCAGTGGCTCCTATTGCTGAACTCGATCGGCCCCGCCGCTGCTCGGTTTTAATACGAGTGATCTCATTAGATCACTCGTATTAAACGAGCAGTGGCTCCTACTACTCGCCCGGCGCCCGAAACTGCATGTCGCGGGCGTCGGGATTCGATCCATAAGACGCAGGCACATTTTCCCCCTCCTTTTTGGGGGAAAAAAAGTGCGTCTTATGGAGCGAAAAATACGGTAGTTGTTTTCACCATTACTTTTTATGTATATTGGCTTTTCAAAATAACAAACAAGAATAAAAAAGAGATAAGATGAGGGTGTTAGTGCAGAATAACACTTTTTTTGGTGGTTAAATAGAAACTTCTCGTAGATGTCTGTACATCAGACCAAAAAGAGGGACAACTGAGGAGAAAAGAGGGACCTCAGGATCTGGTTCCAGATGAGGGACAGTCCTTCCAATTAGGGGACAGTTGAAAGATATGGTTTCAGACTTTCAGTAGAAGCAGAGCTTCTCAACATTATACATTTTGTCTATGTATGGAAGTCATGGGAAGAGAGGGGACGTACTGTAGATTATAATAGACAGGCGTCTATGGCCTACAGTTGTCAGGGCTAGACAACCTAGCCCCAATTCTCTCAGTCTCCTTCTATTGTTTTGCTTAAACACAGGAGAAATTGATCCGTGAAGTATAAAGAAAAATTGTACTTCCCAGATCAACTTTTTGTGTTCATGCTAGGGATGTTCAGATACCAAGTACCGTACTCGGTACAAGTACAGATACTTTTCCAGCTCCGTGACTAGACTAGAGAAAACCATTCAAAAGTTAGGAGGCAGATGTCATTTGTAAGGATGCACCGATACCATTTTTTTCAAGTACGAGTACTGATACTTGCCCAAGTACTTACAGATACAAGTACTAATACATTTTTAATTCTTGTCATGTGACAGTTTTTCTAAAACAATACAGACTAATGATTTCAGGACAGTGGTGGAGCGCCAGAGCCAGGTAACAGCTGCAACCCTGGTAGTTCTTGTGAAAATGCCAAGTATCTGAACTGCTATCTGAACATCCCTAGTTCATGCGTCTAGACATGTTCAGAGTCTCTAATCTGCTCCTGGATGCACAGAATTGTATATTTTAAAGGACCTATTCCCACCAGTCTTATGGAACATAATGCACAGGAGCTGTTGTGTGATGCTTTGTTACAACATATTGCACTTTTTTGCACACATATTGTTGTACATTATGCTGCGTAAAAATTTAGATATGCTAAACTTTTACACAACGCGCATCAACTTACCTTTATGGTTTTCTCAGTGTCCTTGCGTTGAGCCCGTGTTGATCAATGATGATCAGCACAGCTTAAGCAACCTGGTATGCATAAGCCCTAACACAGTGAATTATACCATTTAAAATGATTATATGCATGTATATGCAATTAGAATTGCCCTCTCACAGAAGTGCATGACCGTGTGAATGAGGCCTAATTTTAGTATGCAAATATGGCCGTAATAGCGAATATAATTTGCAAATGCAGCTTTTCAAACATTTAATCAGCTGCAAAACTACTGCTATTGGCTCCTTCACTGGACACTCCTTCCAAGAACACTTGGTGCTGTTACATAACAGAGTGTATAATATGTTTCTGCCATCACTGCAAAAGAATCTTCAGGGATGCTTTGCTGCCAAAGCAGAACACTAAGTAAAGCTTGGCCTTTATGGTAGTTATGATATTATTATAATAACTAACAGAAATGTACCTCGAGTGTATCTACTTAAGCCTCTGGAATTTGTCTTTCATTACTATGCTTGTTCATTGGTGATTTTGTTAAATAAAGAATTTTAAGGAAAAAAAAAAGGAACAACTGAGGAGGAAAGAGGAACAGAGGGATTTGGTTCGAAATGAGGGACCGTTGGGAGGTGTGCAGTGAGAATGAGGCCTTGCTGTCACGGTGACCTTCAATACTATCAAGGAAATGTAATGTGTAAACACCAAACCAAAAGTCATGACACAGTCTGGAAGGCCAAAGTGTGGAGACAAAAAGATAAAGGTACAATGTTTGGGCTGACAAAAATGAACTTCACTGTGTACAGAGGACGAACTTCACCAGCGAATGGAAATGTAATGTATAATAGGTGCATTGTGTATTACAATACCTTGACAACATGGTGTTAGTTTCAGCATACCACTCAACCTTCTGAGACGAGAAAGAGGGACACCTTCCAGCTCAATGTATTTAGGAAATAGACACACCCCTGCCAACAACCCCCATCCCCCCCGACCATTAAGAAGTTAAATGCCAAAAAACGATTGGTTAAACCCAGGATTGTTGTTTTCACCATTACTTTTTATGTATATGGGCTTTTCAAAATAACAAACAAGAATAAAAAAGAGATAAGATGAGGGTGTTAGTGCAGAATAACACTTTTGGTGGTTAAATAGAACCTTCTCGTGGATGTCTGTACATCAGACCAAAAAGAGGGACAACTGAGGAAAGAGGGACCTCGGGATCTGGTTCCAGATGAGGGAGAGAGGGATCTGGTTCCATATGAGGTACAGGCCCTCCAACTTGGGGACGGTTGAAAGATATGGTTTCAGTAGACGCCAAACTACTGCTATTTGGATTCCTATACTGGACACTCCTTCCAAGAACACTTGGTGCTGTTGCATAACAGAGTGTATAATATGTTTCTGCCATCACTGCAAAAGAATCTTCAGGGATGCTTTGCTGCCAAATCAGAACACTAACGCTCAACCTTTATGGTAGTTATATTATTATTATACAGGATTTATATAGCCCCAAAGGTTTGTGCAGTGCTTTACAATATATGAAAGACATTACAGTTACAATACAATTCAAGACAAGATGGTTAGAAGCACCCTGCACATGAGAGCTTACAATCTAAAAGCTCTTGTTTAAAGTGTATGAAGATGAGCTTGTAGTGCTTATAGTCCTAATCAGGAGCATAGCCTAGGGTGACAACACTGCTCCTCTATAAATACAATGCAGAGTGTGTGTCGCCACCCTAGGAGAAGTTTGTTACTGGAAGGATCACCGGGTGAGAATAAAGCCTGAAAAAGAAAACTAATGTAGCTGCCACATCTAAGGACTGGTAAGCTACAATATATAAATTTCTTGTGTTTCGCTACAAGGGCCCATTTACACATATGCACATGCTCTGTTTGAGTGTCAATGCATGTTTTTGGTACTGGTGCCCTTGTGTTGCCTTTGAGTCCTGAACAAGTGTTCTAGCCCCAAATAACACACCACAACGCAGACATGTTTTAACAGATGTACACATCATGGTGTGTGGCGTGGTTGGAAATTAATAGGAACACTCACATGACCAGGGCTGTCTTTACCACAGGGCAAAAGGGGCAACTTCCTTGGGCCCCATAATTTACAGGGGCTCACAGCAGTTGTCCCTTTTGCCCACAGCGGCAGGCCAGAGCACCACTAGTGGCGGGGGCAGACTGGGCCAGGAGACTGCTGTCGTGTTGACAGCCAGGGCCAGCGTCGGTAGAGAGGAGGAGCCGGACGAGGAAGGCGCCTCCAACGATCGGAGAGTGCTGCAAACAGATGGAGCTGCGCTCATCTCTGCCCATTGTATGCAGCTCCAGAGCACCAGGCCGGCAGAGGATGATGATGCTGAGAATGGGGGGAAGACGATGCTGCCTGTGGAGTCCTGTGTATATTGTATTGA